TTCTCACATCCCCAAATTCCCACATCCCCAAATTCTCACATCCCCAATTCGTCATTTCTCAAATTTCAAGTCTCCACCTTCCCAAAATCCCAAATTCTCAAACCCCAACATCCAAGAATGAAGTATTCTACATTCAACAACGAAGCATAGGAGTCAACAATCCCACTGTCGTGAAAATTCATTCCCATGTGACACACGGAACATGTAATAGCATGCTGTAGAAATTAATAAAGAAATTAATCATGCGATAACTAGGTAGGCGTATCGCAACGTGTGTTTTATCGTTACAACCAGGAGTTCCATGTAATACAAGCGATTAGAAGTTGCATCGTCGGAAGAATGCGACTAAGAGTTATGTTGAATTCTTCATGGCTATCTGCATATTTCTAATCGTAACGACAATCTAATCATTTGTAATTAATACGTCGTTTCTAATAAGAATCCTTTAATGCAAGCTGTAAACAAACCGAACATGTCTGAATTTCATTACGTTTGGATAGAGTTTTCAATTGGTAGTACGATAAATATGAAGGATAAAATTACTTAAAAATATTATATGTATGAACTAATTATTAATTGATATGAGTATTGCATATTTGATAAATATCCTTAAAAATCCAAAGAACTCCAATTCATACAACGGTCTCTAATGAACCCATCACATGAACATCATCACATGTAATAATTATACCCATGAACGATATATGAATCTGACAAATAAAAAGTTTGTGACATAAACACTCCACCACTAACAACGAATATAGTATGTCAAACATAATATATTATTTCTGATCTCATAAGGAGACCTGTAACCTAAGTTTTAAAGGTTAATAATTCAATTTACTACTTAGCTCCCCCAAACTACACCTGTTACCCATTGCTAATTTATCCCCTACAATACAAGGAAAATCTTGTCCTCCATTCATATATCATACTTGCATGATACTACGAACTGCACCTAACATACACGTTACCCAATACACAGACATGTACGACCAAAATACCACTCAGTTTCGCGAATGCATGATGTTAATTCCTGGGACTTGAGTCTCTTAAGACGATGCTTGGTAGCAAAGATTTTATACATTTTCGACTTTCTCTGCAACAATTTATGGAGTAACGTGAACATCGTAAATTAGACCATGAAGCAAGGTCCAGACGTGTTCATTAAAATTCCCAACCATCATTCATCCCCTTTGCTCATCATTCATGTACCCTGACGAAACGAGACGTGCAACACCGTGCACAACAAACACGCATGGAGCATCCCCTGCGCTGGTTCCCGGCGAATATCCGAGTGCATCGCGCAAACGTGGACGGTACACAAGTGCGTGTACAGTGCGTCTGCGTAGTTGAAGAGCCGGCTGGTTGCACACCGACTCACGCACCGATACACACCGAGGTCTGGTCTCGGTGCTGGGTAAAGCGGAATACCGCGACGTAGAGCAAGTACCGTCGCACTGCTCATGCTCAGTAAGATTCCTAGAGCCCGGAGAGACAAGGCTCGCCCGTGGAATAATTGATCCAATCGAAACTCGTCTCGCTCCCGCCACGTTTTGTGCACTGACGCGACGCTCTTTATGTAAGCTGGCCGCGAGTTACCCGACAACGAGTGCGTGTTCGGTATCGCGTTCCTGCGTTAACCACCCGTGTCCACGGCGACGAATCCATTCCGGGAACACAGGAGGCACCTTCGATCGACCGAAGATAGCGTCCACCAACAAGTGTCCCGGATAAACGATCCTGCCTTGGCACGAGCCAACCTGTTTACCATACCTCCGGAGCCTCACGCGTCCACTTTTCCTCCGGGGTTCTATTTCAAGGCCAATTTCCCAGAACTGGGACCTTTGACAGGACTCGAGCCTGTTGATATTCTACTCGATGAATGGGGCTCCTATGTGGATCCACCCTCACTCGGAGTTGACAGGATGGGGATAGTTAATCCTCGGCTAGGATAATAGCGAAGAGAGACGCAGGGGTTGAAACGGATCGAGTGATCCTGACAGGACGATGACCGTGCTCGACAGCGAGGGTGTGGCTCGACACCGACGCCCACGAAGAAGGAAGAGCCGCTGATATAGCATGGTCCCTGCTATCGCAAAATAGCGAGGTGGAAGACACACAGCGAGGAGCCGAAGGTGTGTGAACCGCCGCGCGGCGCTGTCGTCGTCGTTTGGCTTGCCACCGCGGTTGCACCGACGCCGTCGTCGCC